TTGCGAGTAACTAGTAAAGAACACACAGACTATGATTGACTGAGGGAAACAGCTTCACAACAATTCAATTATCATTTAAAATCAAAGCATGACTTGAGGGATGATTGCCAAGTTAATTTTTTGTTCCAGTGATCCTGGTTATTGAGTTATGTGCAGGAGAAACATGGATTGAAAATGATCCTGGCAACATGCAGCCCTCACCTGGATCCTCTCCCTGTTCAGCCTCAAATCATTAGATATTGTAAGCCACTGGAGCTCAATCTTCCAATGCTGTGACCCTTTAATACAGTTCCCCATGTCGTGGTGATGCCCAGCCATAAAATCTGTGCATTGCTACTTCATAACTGTAATGCTGCTACTGTTAAGAATCACTCTGTAATTATCTGATGTGCCAGATAGTTGATATTTCACAGGTGACTCCTGCAAAAGAGTCATTTGACTCCCAAAGGCTTATGACCCACAGGTTGAGAACCACTGTTCTATGTCGATTCTGTGACTCTACATTTATAGTAGCTGTTATTTACCCTGTTGCACACAAATATCCATTCTGCCTCCAAGAGACAAGATATGATGCTGTGTTTTGCCAAAAAATATTCACTTCCCTTTAATCCGAACTTCTCTGTTACGGTGATTCACAAAGATTTCAGGCATAGGATTCCAGGCAGGCCTAGGAAACCCGACCAAGGTCCAATGAGATGGCTTAGTGGGTAAAGGTGCTTCCCGTCCAAGCATAACAACTTCAGTTGGATCCCATGGAAGACAGAACCAATCCCTGAAAGCTGTTCTAAGACCTCTACACATGTACACTCATATCTTACATACATACATGTCAACACATGCACACGTATGCACACATACACACTGTTTATAATAATAATAAAAAGTTTAATTAAAAAAAAGAAAATCCTGCTTCACCAAGACCTCGGGCAATCTGTTCGACGTGTGAGGCACACACCACACTCCATGTCATAATTAAAAGGTAGGGAAGTGGGAAGCGTTGTGCCATGCTGCTGATGACGTAAAATGTTCACTCATAATAATGAACCTTGATATATTAGAAAGCCCGGGAGAGCCTTTCACATATTCTTCCCAACACAAAGTCTTTTTAAGGGTAAATTTTCTTAGCTGCTACTCTCAGAAACCCACCCAGAGCTAACATAAACAGACAGCTATGAAATTTACTGGAAGATGTCTGAGGGAGGTAGGCTGTGAACCCCACAGTCATCCTGAATGTTGGAGTTCTTTCAGCTGAGTCCCACTCTCCACAGGCAGCCGACCACTTCAACTTCTGAAGGAATCATGAGGGAAGCTTCTCATCCAACAGGACTTACTATTCAGAGGGTTTGTTTTTGTTTTTTTTTTGTTTTTTGTTTTTGTCTGTTTTTTGCTTGTTTTTTTCCATTAAAAAAATGGTTATTTTATTTACTTACATTTCAAATGTTATCTCCTTTCCCAGTTTCTCCTCCACAAGCCCATCCCCCTCCCCTTGCCTCTATGAGGGTTCTCCTCCACTCACCCACCTATACCTGCCTCAGTGCCCTAGCATTCCCCTACACTGGATCATAGAGCCTCCACAGGACCAAAAGCCTCTCCTCCCACTGATGCCAGACAATGCCATCATATGCAATCAATGCCATAAATGCTACATATGCAGCTGGAGCCATGGGTCCCTCTATGTGTACTCTTTGGATGGTGGTTTAGTCCTGGGAGTTTTGGGAGGTCTGGTTGATTGGTATTGTTGTTATTCCAATGGAGTTGAAAACTCCTTCAGCTCCTTCAGTCCTTCCCCTAACTCCTCAATTGGGTCCCTGTGCTCAGTCCAATGATTGACTGCGAGTATACACATCTGTATTAGTCGGGCTTTGGCAGAGCCTGTCAGGGGACAGCTATACCAGGATCCTGTCAACAAGAGCTTATTGTCATCAGCAATAGTGTCTGAGTTTGGTGTCTGCAGATGGGATGGATCCCTAGGTAAGAACAGTCTCCGGATGGCCTTTCCTTCAGTCTCTGCCCCACTCTTCATCCCTGCATTTCCTTTTGATAGGAGCAATTCTGGATTAATATTTATGAGATGGGTGAGTGGCCCATCTATTCAGAGGTTTTTAAGAGAAATTCGCTAGCATCAAACTGGCAGTATCAGAAGTCCTAATTTTGAAGACAAATAAAAGAAGATTTGCGGAAGATACCAATGCATCTCTCATCAAAATATAATTGGTCTATTAGGTGAGATTTTCTAAAGCTAAATATGCATGTTAGTTTATGCTTCAGCAACAGTGTTTCTAAGTACACTACCACGAGAAAGGACTGCTTATACTCACAAAACAGTATGCATATGGAAGTCATGGTCTTCAAATGGAAATGACTTATTGGAGAGACTATGGTGTATCTGTTCACTGGAATACATACAATTTTTAAAAAGTGGACCTAGTGATATGTTGTAGTAAATTTCCAACCCCAATAAGCTCATGCAAGGAAGACACAACTCAGCTGTATATTTATAAACTGCACATCTATGTTGGGCAGATTTGCCTCTACACCACTTTCTTCCCCAACTAAGAAATTCCTGCTACTTAAAGTTTCTCCAGCCCACGTGCTTCTGCGCCATCTTCCTTCCAACTTCTCCCCCTATGTCTTCCTCTGTCAGCCATATCCTTCAACCCAACTCCTCCCCTTCTCTTCCTGTCTTGCCTGGAAAACCTACCTCGTCGCTTTCACCCAGTGATTGGCTATTTCGTCATTGTTATTAGCCAATCAGATAATTAAGGGGAATTCCTCTACAGTGATAGATCCCACTGCATGAATAAATCTCACACAAATGCTAAGTGAAAGAAGCCCAGATGTTTATAAACAGCACATTATGTGATTCCATTAACGTGGCGTTCTAAAACAGGCAAACCTAATCAGTTTGAATATGGATATGAATGGTGGTAACATTGGGGGATAATCGAGTGGTAGAGAAATAAGAGATCTGTTGGGATGCTAGAAGTGTTCAGCATCAGAGGGACTGTCTTATGGGCATGATCACTTCTAAGACTTCAAGCTGTCCATAAGATGCATGTACTTTACCAAATATGAAATATACTCCACTAAAAAAATCAAAACAAAAGCAATTATTTTTTAAATATCACCTTATAAGATTGTCTTCTGACCAAACATGTAGCACTCAGAAGAGTATATGTCCAAGCAGGAGGAAAAGTTTTTTTTTTAAAACAAAACAAAACAAAAACCACAACACGTGGTGCATCTTGTAACTAAAATATGTGTGCAAAAGATATGTGAAAGTTCACATTTTTTATTTTAATTTTTATGCTTGGTAAACTTTTACTTTGAATGAAAGTCTTATTGGGACAATACCAAATGATCTTCAGGGACTAACTAAAAATTAGAGTTAACTAAAAATTTAGAAATAAATGAACCCTTTTCCATCCTATGGAACAATGACTTGCCTGAGTCCTGAGTCATAATTGGATGTCATGTGAGTCCACACATATGATGGTTAGTACAATGACTAATTACAACAATAAGAGCTGCTAAAATTCATACATCTTATCATAATTATAATATGTTACTGGTAAATGTTATAAAATACAAAAGTCAAAAATGCTATTTAGTTGTATTTAATAAATATGCAAAAAATGTATTAAAATGTAAGTAAAAGGTTACTTTTAGCTTCTGGGATAGGTATTATACACATAGTACATGGTGTCTCCTAAAGTAGTTTTAAACTTATGTTTTTTGTTGTTGTTTTTGTTTTTGCTTTTGTTTTGTTCAGAGTAAATTTTGTATTGTTTCATTTTGCTTACCTTTATTGAAAATAGATTTTCTTCTCGTATGATTTATCCTAATTCTGATTTCCCTTCCCTCTATACCTGTGATCCAGATCCACCTTATTTCAGTCTCTCATTAGAAAATAAACAGGTTTCTAACATAAACTGAAAAAAAACCAACCAGAAACTAACACATAAGAATAGAACAAAGCAAACAAACAAGCAGAAGGAAAATAGCCCAAGAAAAGACAAAAGAAACAGATATAGACACAGAGAATCACTCATTTTTCACACTCAGAAATCTGGTATAAAAAAGTGAGTTCAAGTAATAATATACATGCAAAAACACTTTGTGGTAAAATAAAGAATATATATTATATTATATTATATTATATTATATTATATTATATTATATTATAT